TCCATACATACTTAACAATTACTCCTTTGTCAATGGCTCTAGCTACTTGATTCACGACAATTCAGATCCTTAGTATAAATGTCAATGTAGACGGAGACCTCTTTGGCATTGTACCTAAGCCTTGTGAGAGTGCAATAATAAAATTGGTGAAAATATCAGGAATTTCTTGATTAGAATTTATTTGGGGGACTAATACACGTTCCTACCGACGGCGCCAACTGTTGATATAAAAATTCACACGGTACAGAGCTAAGGGCCATTCCTGTAAGACAAGAAAAGTGATGAACGGCGTGGTGCCAGCTAGGTGTACTCCGACGATTAAGTTAGTACTTGACGATTGAATATCTAAAAAATGATTAAATATGAGATTTTTTGCTTGCCTTTTTAGGTTGACGGATGACTTATTTTATAAAAGCATTAATTGTAATAGTCTTCTGTCATCAAACAAATTTATTTTCCTTATCCATTACGGATTGTAAGAGTCATTGGAAAGAGTAGTAGTTGTTATTTCTATCTCTTTAAGTTTATCCCTACCCTTTGAGTCTCTCATTTGGAATTCTTATCTAGTCAAATATTTCGTATCACTAATACTACCACTAATAATAATAATATAGTAATAGGAAATACTAGAATTTAATAAAAGAAAATCTAATAGAGAAAGAAATATATAATTTATTTCAATAAATACATAACAATAATTCTATATCAAAATATAACAATAAAATCATAAACTAAGAATTCTATAAACAAATTTAATTATTACAATTTATTTTATTTTTTATGTTATTCATTTTAATAAATATTATATTCTTGTAATATATATAGATAGTAAATAAATATACAAAATATTCTTATATACATTTTTTTATTCTTGTATAATTTTTTTACTTTATAGTTATATACATACTTTCGTAACAACAATGGTAAGAGAGATTAGATTTTGATCGTAACAACAATGCTAAGAGAGAGCGTCGACCCAGAGTTGAGAGTGAGTTTGAGTTATATATCCAAACATAAGAGTTAAAAAAAAAAAAAAAAAAAAAAAAAAAAAAGAAAAATTAAAAATTAATGTTAACTCAAGAAGATATGATATTTCTTTTTTTTTTTTTTGAATGGTAGATATGATATTTCTTGGCATCAGCTAACTATGTTATAATGAATGTTCTAGGGTGCTGGTGAAATGGTCCGAATAGGGAAATGGTTATTATCATACATGTTTTTCAACAAGGCACTAAATTTTTTTTTTATTATTATCATAGTCGCGATTTTTCCTTTTTTAAAATTATATAGACCAACGTCAGTGAATATATTAGAACAGTTCAGTAGTAATCTAGTGTATTAACATCATGCACATAATATTTTAAGAGTAACTAACTAGAATGATTTGTAGGAACACATGTATAAGAATCGGATGCTCTTAATGAATTATCATTATCATAATGTAAGTCATATAATTCTTTTAAATGGGTGTCATTCTCGTGCTTTGTGCGCTTTCGTTATTGTTCCTTCCCACTTAATTTAATTTTTTACTACTTTCATGCTCCCGCCTTCACACTTGCTCCCGCACCCGCTTTATGATATCACCTTTACTTTTAGAGTGAAAGAAAGAGAGCACTAATCTCTGCGACAGCATTGTAGGTTGTGAGTTTTTTGTTAGAACCAAAAAATAATAATATAAAAAGAAGGCAAACAAAAAATAAATAAATAATGAACTACCACATTGGTAATTCAAATTGGTAATTTCAAAAGACAGTTTGAAGGTTACATCATGTTCTTAGCAATTGTAAGACAACCCATTTGATTGGATCCACCAACTCTGTCTTTCTGAGACTTTCTGATTAATGCTCCCGGTTTCAACTTTTAATCACCTCCCATTGATTTAAACTGGTCCCACAAGAATTTAGACCCACCTGCAAGTAGTAGAGGCTTATCGGTCAGAAACAGAAAATGGAAACTATAACCAATGAATTATTGAGAAAGGAACAAAATATATATATATATATATATATATATATATATATATATATATATATATATATACACACACTATTATTAAAAGTACAACGAGTTTTAAACTTTTAGTCCAATAATGTGTTTCAATATCATATTCTTTAATTAGATAAGAAAATATATAGAGAAAATATATAATTTAGTCTTTCTAATGACAAGAAAATATATAAATAAAATAAATAAATAATTTACTCTCTCTAATTAGATAAGAAAATATATAAAAGAAATATATAAGTCTTAATAGAGTTTGTAAAAGAGTTTCTATAAAACTCTGATACAAATTACTTATTTATTATGAATTTTTAATATTTTAATTAATATAAGGGATTTGGAAGAGTTTTTATAAAACTCAAATAATTTTTTTTTTTTTTTTTTTTTTTAAAAAAAAAATTTCTATAAAACTCTATCACAAATTACCTAATTAGAAAATGAAACACTTTAATATATAATATTTAATATATTTCTTGTCTTTCTAATTAGACAAGGAAATATATAAAGAAAATAAATAATTTAGTCTTTCAAAAAGTTTCTATAAAACTCTATCACAAATTACTTAATTAGAAATAAAATCTAATTAGAAAATGAAACAGTTCAATATATAATATTTAATATATTTTCTTACATTTCTAATTAGACAAGAAAATATATAAAGGAAATATAAAAAGGAAATATATATAAAAAATAAATAATTTAGTTTTTCTAATTAGACAAGAAAATATATAAAAAATATATATATAGTAACACTTTAATATATATTATTTAATATATTTTCAAATCTTAAAGTTCCATAAAACTCTATCACAAAATACCTAATTAGAAGAAAAAAAAAAAAAAAAAAAAAAAAAAAAAAAAAAAAAAAAAAAAAAGGAAATATTTTAATATATAAAATTTAATTATATAAAATGAAAGGTGATTTGGGAAGAGAATATTTAATATTAAAATATTAAAAAAAGAATACTTAGGTCCTCAATAGTGATGATGTATATTGTCCTGATGTGAACCAATAATAAATGGATACCTCTTATTTAATTATTAAATTAAGGATGGTGAGATAGTGTATATACACCACCATCTCTCATTTAGTAATGAAAGAAAATATGTTCATTTTTTTATTGGTCCACATTCTTCAAAAAATTATTTGCCACGCAGAGAAACGTAATTCCTTTTCTAACTTTCAATTTAACACAAATTATATTTACAAATAAATTCTTAAACAACTAAAAGTTACCGTCCTATTTCCCCTAAAACCAAATCCCTCCTATCCTGTGTATAAATTTTAATTTTTCAATATATGTTCTCCTATGTTGTGTGAATATTTTAATTTTTTAATATTTGTTTCTTGTATAAATTTTGTAATTTTAATGTTAAAAGAATTTACTCTATGATAGTCTTGTATACTTTATTAACCTTTCTTATCTATCAATATTTCTGTGTGTTCATTGTCTAGATTTTGGAATTGTAATGCCAAATTTTTATTATTATTAATCATGCAACTCATGTAACACGAGATTACACAAGCAGAGATCATTTCTTTGAAAAAACGATTCTCATCCTACAATCACAATATATAGTACAATGATACACTATATAAAAATTCAAATTATATTAATAATTCACCTATAAATATATATTTGTTTAAGCACGAGTATTTTTTTTTCTTTTTCTAGATTGAACAAGTTGAAGTTGGTAATCTTCACAGAGGTGAGTAGCAATTATTATGAAAATCTTATTGAATCATTGTAGTGTTTTATTTTATTTTAAATCATTATAGTGTTTTATTTTTAATTAGAGAAGAAAATATATAGATATAAATAAATCTAACTAGAGAAAGAAATTGTAGCGACCCGAGTTTTTCAACCCAGTTCGTTAGTGATGAACCGAAAGTTAACCCGATAACGAGTTCGAAATGCGGAAGCAAAAGATAGAACTAAAGTCTATAGAGATATAGACCATCTCTAAGACACCAATGTGACCTTCTAAGAAGTCACGGAATTCAAGGAGAACGAAAACGAAAACAAAGGTCGAAATGGACAAACACCATGAACCAAGGGCAAATTGGTCAACTCACAACCAAAAAGAGAAACTTGACTCTAAACAAGTCAAACAAGGTGAAAACAACCTAACTTAATCATTTCATGACTTTCCAAGAGATTCTAAGAACATTGGACAAGAATCTCACAAAATGCCCTATCCCGGTCGAAGTAAAAACTAACACTACTTCACTAAAATATGAATAACTCCCACTGTGATTGGAATCTGAGAATGGCATTGGTACCATTGGAAAGCTGACTCAAAATCCATGAATTTAGGCTCAAGAATCACCCCATTTGAATTTAAAACGAAGGAGTTATGACTCTTTGAAGTTGGAAGATCAGTGCTGAAATTAGACTGAAGCTACTCTCGGGATCTAGCTATTTCGGTCAACCGAAATGACCCATCGGACGACCGAAATGGACAAAATTTCAGCTGAAAACAAGTCTTTAAGGCTTGGTTGGTTTGATACACCAAAAGGAACCATCGGTCGATCGAAATGAGCCATCGGTCGACCGAAATGACCCTAAATGCTGACTTTAGCTACTGGAAAGTGAAGTTTCAAGGTTCAAACAAAACCCAAAAGGCATTTTGGTTGACCGAAATGACTCGAGAAAGTGCACAAACCTCCTGTTATGCATCCATGGCTGAAAGTCCACTTGGAATCCCCCATGGCATGTTCAATTTGCATTATATGCAAGTATGTGATGATGTGAACATGCACGCAAGTGTAATATAATATTTGAAACATGTTGCAATGGTCTGCGGCCTCATTACATTCCATTTACAAAATTTCACATGTCAAACCTCCAAACTAGAAACATTACATTACATAGGCAAAACTAAACATGCTAACACCTGCATGTGAACAAGAAAGCCTCTAAAGAAACTTCAATACTGCAATTCACCCAAAGCATGTGCAACTCACCAATCTCGTACCCTGTACCTGAAATATGCCCCAGTAACGTAGGGGTGAGCAATATAAAACTACTCGTAGGAAATGAGCATGCATCGACCTAAGTTTTACAAGTTTGCATGATTTAATCATTGTGGTTCATTCCACCTAACGTCTATGTCAAAAGTAAGACTCAGGAAGCATCCTAACTACCTAAGATCATTACTAGCATAAAACATATCCTTTATGCGATTTCAACAACACAAGAGCATGCTACACATAGCAACAAGATATAACATGCTTACACCAAGCAACTAGATAGAAACATACTTACACAAAGCAACTAGATAGAAACATGCTTACACAAAGCACCTAGATAGAAACATGCTTACACAAAGCAACTAGATATAGATTTTCAAGGTAACCAATTTAATATCAAAAATGCGAAATCAACTAAATATAACAATTTAGTATAATTGGAATATCTAATACCACACATCAAAACATAGATTCTCTAGACTATCAACTAGAAATCTAAAAGTGTGAAATCGACTAAATATAACAATTTAATATGTATGTACTTAACAACATCAAATCGCCAATAGTCAAAACAACAAGTCACAATATAAACATGATTGATAATTTGGAATTGAATGCGAAAACAAATAGTGGAAGACTTGGATATCACGCTCGGAATTCTGCCGAGACCTCAATGGTTATTCCAGGCACTAACCCGTAGGGAAGACCACCCTAAGTGCGCACTATCTCAATTAGGGAGAACTCATACCTCCCGCACTAGAGTCACACTCTAGCCATGTCACATGTAACAACAATGTCCTAAGAGGATCCAAAATATACCAAATAAGTTCACAACCTACACATATTATTACTACATAGTAACAAGTTAGCAATATAACTCTCAATTGTGCATAATAAACATTTCATATTCATAATGCTATGAAATCACAAGTCAACAATATATTCATATTAGAAACATATTCTTATGAATATAAATTTAACAACAACGCTTTTCAATGATTAAAACATAATCAAGTGAATACACCACAAGTCTAAATCCATGATCTTAAAGTAGAAGCAATTCCTAAAACTTGATTAAATCCATGGATAAACAAGATAGAATTTAATTACATCAAAATAATCAAACTCTCTAGATTTCAAATCATTTTCAAATGGTCTCAATTTAATATATGTTAAAAGACATATCATGGTCATCACATATATTCACACAAACGCTTAATTAAGCCCATGAAACCACAAAATAGATTTTAATTAATTCTCTTAATTAAAGTCTCTAGATTTTCAAACTCAACCAAATGCTCTCAAATTAAAGTATGTTTACTAACATACCAAAACTTAATTTAGAAGCATAACACATATCCATTTCATGTAAAGTATGGCCATGGGAATTAATCTTTCACAAAGAAAAATATTAAATAAAAGATGCAACTTTTATTCAAATAATTCCAATTAAATATATGTTAATAAAAATATTAAAACTAAACTTTCTAGCATGCCACAATTCAAATCCAAGTTATATCTTATCATGAAAATTTAATCTTATACAAAGAATTAAATATTACTAACTTTCTAGATTTGATACAAGGCATACGTATAGATTGTATAATCATGAGAAATACATAATACAACACACAAATAATCCTAAAACATTCCCTACCTCCATTTGAGATGAAATCTCAAATCCCCACCAAAATGAATGTGCTCTGAATCCGACGAAACTTCTAGGTTTTGTCGGGGACAACACTGTGAACATAACCCCCAAGGAAGCCCTATCAAATTCACAACTTGAATCCAAACTCGAACTCAAGAAATGGCCAAAACTGAATTCTAATAAGGGGGAATGGTAGAGCACGTCGAGGGGAATAATAAACGTTAAGGCCGAAGACTTTTCATCAAGGAAAAGTGGACCAAAAGAGAAGAGAGAAGATGGCAGCCATGGCTGCCATGTATTCCGGCCAGAAGATAGGAGAGAGAGAGAAAACTCAGATATTTTCTTCTCACACCCTATTTATTGAAAAACCATAAAAGTGCCCCGAACGGGCCCCTCCGGATCCAGAAAAGTCAAATTCGCATAGACGCGCTCAAACGGCAAAACTCCGTGAACAAAAAAGATTCATAATGAGAAAATATGAATAACGGAAGAAACGACGTCGAAAATCGAGTTCCAAGTAGAAAGTTATGCCCCAAACAAGTTTGGCGCAAACTAGGGCCAAAAATCATGAAACTGGAAAACATCGACCAGAAGGGAATTCTAAGAGTCCACGACTCGACGAAAAGTGAAAATGAATCCCATACGAGAATCCAGGCTCAAAATAAGACATTTAGCAATAACTTTCATTAATTGCACAATGGCCCCTCCAAAAAGTGAAAACTCCACTAATGGCCCATAATGAAAATATCTTCCAAAAAATATTTTTTTAAAAACTCCTGAAATAAAATATCTTCAAAAGATATTTACGAAAAATACCCCAAGAAAGGAAAAAGTTCCCAAAGAACTTTGCATTCATACCCCTATGGACACCGGGAGTAACCAGAATACTTTCTTGCGAAAGTAAAAATACGTACTTCATGAAAACCATTCAAGATGAACGTACGTGAAATCAAAAACCAACTCCGGACACAAGAAGCGTGGTTACGCCAACAAAGTGACAAACGAAGAAAAGACAAAATAGGGAAAAAGACGAAATAAGGAAAGGACGAAAAATGAATAGGGTCTAAAAAGTGAAAATATGGAAATGACTCGATCCTCAAAGGTAATTGTCAATCCAAATAAAAGAGTTTCAGAAATCATTTCAGAGCACTCGAGATGACACTAATCGACAAGAAACCAAACTCAGAAGGGAAAAGATAACGGAAAAAAAATTTCCGAAAAATCCGGGTCATTACAGAAATATATAATTAAAAAAAAAAAAAAAAATCAAACTACTAAAATTCAATCAAAGAAAATCTAATTCAATAAGAATTTTAAAATATTAAAAAAAATTATTTATTTAATTCAATAAAGAAAAATCTAATTAGAGAATAAAATAATCATAATAATATAGTAGTAGGAAATACTAAAATTCAATAAATAAAAATCTAATTATAAAATAAAATATAAGTATTATATGATTTTTTTAATAATATAGTAGTAGAAAATACTAATAATAATATTAGTAGTAGGAAATCTAATTACATAAGAAAATATAAAATAATTTAATACTGAATTACTAAAATTCAATAAAAAGAATATTAATTAGACAAGAAAAATATATAATATTAAATAAATTATTATTTTAATTCAATAAAAGGAAATCTTATTAGAGGAGAAATACTAATAATAATAATATAGTAGTATGAAATATAGAAATTCCGTAAAACGAAATCTAATTAGGGAAATAAATATATAATTTATTTCAATAAATACATAACAACAATTCTATATCAAAATATACCCATAAAACTTTAAACTAAGAATTCTATATACAAAATTATTTTTATATTTAATTTTTTATTTATAGTTCATTTAAATTTTTTATAATATTTTTATTTCAAAAAATAATAAGTTTTAATAATATTATTTATATATAATAAATAATAATGCAAAATTATTTTTCCACAATATATATTTTTTATCATTATGAGTTTTAGTACATTAATTTGTTTCCATGCATTAATTTTTAATAATAAATTTATATGTTCAGTATGTATGTTTCATTTTAGAATAACACAAATTACATGTCTGTTATCCGTTTTTATTTTAAAATTAATATAAGGTGCTTAGAAGATGAGTTTTTTATACAAGTCAAAATACCTATTTATTATGATTTTTTTTAATAAAAGAAAATCTAATTAGATAAGAATATATATATAGAAAATAAATAATTTAGTTTTTCTAATTATACAAGGAAATATATAAAAATCTATAAATAATTTAGTCTATTTAGACAATTTAAATTACTTATTTATTATGAGTTTTTTTTAAAAAAAAAGTAAATCTAATTAGTTAAGGAAGTATATAAAAAAACATAAAAAAATAATTTAGTCTTTCAATGAGACAATGAAATATATAAAAATATATAAATAATTTAGTCTATTTAGTCTACACATCTTTTCTACTTTTATAAATAATATATAAATAATTTTTTAATATATAAATGAATAAATATCCATTTTTTATTTTAAAATTAATATAATGTGTTTAGAAGAGTTTCGATAAGACTCATATTACCTATTTATTATGAGTTTTTTAAATAAAAGGAAATCTAACTAGATAAGGAAGTATATAAAGAAAATAAATAATTTAGTCTTTCTAATTAAACAAGAAAATACGTAAAAAAATATAAATAATTTAGTCTATTTATAAAACTCAAATTACCTATTTATTATGAGGTTTTTTTTTTAATAAAAGTAAATCTAATTAGTTAAGGAAATATATAAAGAAAATAAATAATTTAGTCTCTCTATTTAAACAAGGAAATATATAAAAACTATAAATAATTTAGTCTATATAGTCTCCATATATTTTCTAATTTTATAAATAATATATAAATAATTTTCTAATATATAAATAAATAAAATATTAATAAATTGTAATAAAACATAGTTTTGATTTTGATATTATTTTAGGAGTTTGAAAATACATCTATCAATAATTAAATTTCTATTGTAAAGTTCAATTAAAAATTATATTTTTATTTTACCTTGTGTCAATTTTATGTTAATGGATATTTTAGAATTTATAATTATTTAATTACTTTATTAAATATTGATATTAAATTAAATTTTACTCACATGCAATAGTATATTATTTTTTAATAATAAATTTATATGTTCAGTATGTAAGTTTCCTTTTAGAATAACACAAATTATCTATTTATTATGAGTTTTTTTTTTTTAATAAAAGGAAATCTAATTAGATTAGGGAATATATATAGAAAATAAATAATTTAGTCTTTCTAATTAGACAAGAAAATATATAAAGGAACTATATGAAAAAATATAAATAATTTAGCCTATTTAGTCTTCCCATCTTTTCTAATTTTATAAATAATATATAAATAAGCAAAATATTAGTAGATTGTAATAAAAAATAGTCTTGATTTTGATATTGTTTTATGAGTTTGAAAATGCACCTATCAATAATTGAATTCCTATTGTAAAGTTGAATTTAAAATTATATATTTCTGTCAATTTTATGTTTTAAATTTTATAATTATTTAATTAATATTTTAAAATTAATTTTAAGTGCAACTCACGTACAGTTTTACTGTTTTACTTGTATATATATAATTACTGTTTTACTAGTGTATATATATATAAGTGTCTGAGAAAGATCCTTTAAAGTACTTTAAATCTCGGTTTCATCTCCACCGCAACCATCAAAGGCACCACTGCAATTGCCACCATGAGTGATAGCATCACTATTTTGAATTTGTTTCATCCATTACTGTTTTTTTCCCCATAAAAATGAAAAATATTAAATTTTACTAACCACTTGCTATACGGATCATCAACAAACCGACGTCTCTTTAAATCATATGAACTTTAAGGTACATGAAGATCCAAATGGTCAAGTGCTTTTATTCTAATCCCAACCTTGCTACAACTTTTATTTTTGTGGGCTGGAAGACCCAAATGAGAATTGTTATAAATTGAAAACCTCTTCCATTCTACTACAATCAGCACCAACAATATCAGGTTATGTAAGAATAAAATAAAAAATATAACTGATTTAATGAAATTATATATACGTATATAACACACTGTGGCAGAGTCAGAGGGGTCGGCAATGTTGAAAAATGAGAATGTATGTAATAGAAAAACTTAAACAAAATAATATAAGCAAAAACTTAAATATTGATAGATAATAAATTACAAATACATTTATAATTTTCTAGAAATTGTATCTCATTACAGCAATATATTAAGGAAATTCTACTCTCGTTTTTTCGGCTTTCTCTGAAGGAAATTTCAATTTTGCAAAAGGATCAACAATTGGTTAAGAGGGATTAGGATTTCTTGTGCATTAGCTTAGGGTCAATAATTTGACTAAAAGCTACAAAAAGATGAACTTGCTTTGAATTGTGGAGAGAGATTTGTAGATGTTTTTCAAGATAGGAAATCTGAAACCGAGAAAAGAAACAATTTGAAACGAAAAAAAAAAATGACAAAGAATTCACATCCTACAAACAAATTGGACATCCTGAGAAGACATTCAGTAATTCGAGTATATAATTACTATGCTCCTCAATCAAAATACACTATTCAATTAAATAGGTCACACTCTAAGTATTTAAATTTATCTCAACTAACAGAATTGTTATAATTTGATTGGTCAAACATAAAAAAAAAAAAAAAAAAAGGCAGCAGTCAATACCTTATTTACTGATTTAGCGGAATATGGTCATCGTGGTTTCTCCCTCTTCTTAACTTGTTTCTGCATCATTATTATCCTCCACTGCTACTCCCTGAATTAAACAGAAGGTGAACGAATTAAATGAAAGCATTGGCTAAGTGAAGTCTTCCAATAAGGACAAAGGCAAATGTTCGTAGTTACCTTAGTTACCTTTCCTTCCCAAAATTGTTGCACATGATTATTAAGGTCATTTACACGACTTAACTTCCACTGATCTTTGAATACTTCTATATCCGGTGTGCTTAAATATCCAGATGTGAAAGTCTTCAATTCCGGACACCTGGTTATATCAACACGCGTCAAGGATGGGAATTTAAAAGCATTGTTTGCCTGACAAAAACATGTGAGGTTTGGTAGATATGAAAGTATCAGATGCCCTAGCTGAGAGAACTCAATTTCATCCGTGGCATTTTCTCCTCCTCCTCCTCCTTCGTTTTTAAGTATTTCTTCCATCACACCACAATTTTCAATTGTTAGATCCCTGAGTTGTGTGAGACTTTTTGCTATTGAGAGTGAGAATAGATACTTCAGTCCGATGCAATTTTTTACTATCAAACGCTGTAGCTGAGAGAACACAATTTCATCCGTGGCATCTTGTTCTTCATTTTTAAGTATTTCTTCCATCACACCACAATATTTAATTCTTAGATCCCTGAGTTGTGTGAGACTTTTTGCTATTGAGAGTGAGAATAGATACTTCAGTTCCAATTGTTCTACTGTCAATTTTGTTAGGTTGTGAAATACCAGATGCCCCTGGGGTTCCATTATCCAATTACGCTCCAATTTAGGTAAATACACCAGTCTCAATTGAGTAGTCTCAAACCGCTGTAGCAGGGTATAAACATTTACTAAGTTTCTGCAGTTGTTCACCTCCAGGGATTTTGGTACTTTGCAAAAGGGAAGGACATGGCATGTACCTTCGAAGATGCTCTCATCACTCAGTATCAATCTATCCAAGATAGGAAATTCAACCTGCGCGCAGAAATCACTCACCGTATTTAGCTCCACAATATTCTGATTAAAAAAATAAAGCAAACCAAGCAATAATGAACCTTCTAATTTTCTGTTCTAATTCCATTTTTATGCTCTACAAATTAATCAATTTCTTCTCAAATTATAGATATAAAACTGCATATTAGGTTGTTGACAAGAAAACCCCCCATCCTGCTCACAGCTGGTGGATTCATTTGAGGCTCTATCTTGTTTTGATTTTTGAGGCTCTGGTATATAAATAGATGGATTTAAATTGGTTTGCAAATTTTCAAATAACACCAGAGAAAATTGGAATAATAGTTTCCTCATAACTGTAATAGGAATTAATGGACTTACCATTTCATTTGGCAATGGTTCAGTACTGTTCAGGTATCGGCAAGGAAACATCTCCAATTTGGGACAGCGTTCTACTGTTATTTTTATTACAGATGGCAATTCAGAAATGCAATTCCTTCCGCAAAAGCTCGTCAGGGACGGTAGGTTGTTAAAGACCACTTCATTTAATTGAGGGAACACAAGATTGTTCTCTACTTCTTTTCCCAGAGCTTTATGGCTTGCACCTGTTTCTTCTGCTCCCTTTGACCCTTTAACTTTAAATACCTCTTCCAGGGAGTCGCACTCTTTCACACGGAGCTCTTTAAGGTTCTGAAAACTTGTAAGTGATTCTGTTGAAGCAACATTTAATAGCTTGAGACACCTATACTCGTTCATTCTCTCAATAACCAACTTCTCCAAGCAAGGAAATTGAACCTGCAAAACATCAGCTTGCTGGTGATAATATTCCTTTCTTTGCTTGAAAATAACGCAATCTGCCAAATTAATGGTTTAACATTTTTTAAGGAAAACAATAATAAAGTTTATTACTGATTTCAAGGACGTGTGGATGCAATAACAAAAAGCCACCAAAACACAACATTCAATGCAAGGTTAAGTGGAAATCTAATTGAAATTCATTAACATTTTTTAAGGAAACATATTTATTAGTGTTGTTGATCTGAAATCACATTTGTAAAAAAATATATTGTACTTGAAAAAACTGTCATTCATACATTTAGTTTATTGAAAGAAACTGTAGATAAAAGCTTTACCAAAACACAGGAACAGAAAATGCTTACACAATTGAAGGATTTAAATACATAATTATAATGTTTTAAGAAAAAAAATGAAATTCTTAATTTCATTAAAACTGTAAAAATAAAAATAAAAATAAAAAACCTATCAATATAATAAAACCATCCATCCATCCATCAAAATCATATTACGAGGAGGTAATTTTGTATTTTTTTTTCTTCTATTTTTAGTAATTTTGAGAGAATTGAATTTTAAATTTCCTTATGGTTATAGATTCTTGATATGTTTTCCCTATTATAAACATTAAAATATTTTTTCACTTATCAACAATATATTAGTATTATATTGCTCTGCAAGATGACGTTTTGACAAGTGGGTGATGTGGCGCTTTGCTCGAACTGGAGAGAATTTATGTGGTATATTTGTGCAGAGCCAAAAAAAAAAAAAAAAAAAAAAAAAATTAAAAGAAAAAAAAAATGTGCCCATTGAACTTTGTTCTCAAGAGTCGAGTAAAAGACGTAGGAAAATATAATAATAATAAATAAATAAATTTGAAAAAGACACTTTAGTCCACTTTATACGAAATAATGTCAAGATCCATTTGACAAGGTTAGGTATGATTCTAATATTTTCATTCAGTCTATTTGATTTGTTCTAGGAATCCAAAAATTTTATTAAAAAAAAAAAAAATTTGGTTTGTATATTCAAACGTTTCAATTCATTTTATTTTATCAAATTTCAGGAGTGATAAGTTACGTTTTAACAAAAAGAAAAATAAATAAAGAAAGAAAGAAATAAGAAATTGAGAGATGATTTGTGTCTGGAAAATTCAATACCAATCAACCCCAAAGTCTCTAACCAAATTCAATTCTCATGATTAAAAAAATATATATTAAATTCTAACCAAACTTATTTTTTTCTCTTTGAACGTGAAGGTAAAATAGATATTAATAAATTTCAATGCTTGTCTAGTTATGATGATCATGTCTTGTTTGATAAATTGTAATTTAGATAGATATCATCATCTAAATTAACTGATTTGTTAAGTGATAGGATCAATAAGTGTGGATTAGGATTAATTTAAGGACACATGAACGTACATACCTTGTGGAAATCTAGGTGACATTTATTAATTTCAGTTGTTCAGTGCACCCAAGGTTAATTAGGATTAATTTAAGGACACATGAACATACATACCTTTTGGTTAAAGAGAGCATCTCGTTGAGGAATAGTCTCCTTCAATATGCTTTCTTTTTCATTTCTGAAGCAGCAGAAACTACTGAACTTTGGCAAACTTGAAAGTTTCATTTTGTTTAATTGAGGGAACACTAGGATCTTATCGCTTGCTTCTTCTTCTTCTTTGGATCCTCCACTACAACAGAAACTACAGAGCTTTGGCAAATTTGAAAGTTCCATGGTCTTTAATTGAGGAAACATGACGATCTCATCACCACCTTCTTCAATAGCAACCACTTCAACTCCAGATACAATTGAATCACATGACCAAACTATGAGGCTTTCAAGTTTCTGTAACAACGGGAGTACATTGGGTGGAATGACATTTACTAGCTTCTCACACATATCCACTTCAATGAACCTCAGCTGCCGGAAGGAATCTTCTGCTTGTGAACCCAGGAATAATTGGTTATCCCATATCGCTGTGAGGCTTTCCAAACCTCCAATCTCCAATAACTCCAATGCTGGGAACTTAACCTGCAAATTTCATTACGTCACATTTCATGAATTAATGTTGGAAAAATAGCACAAATGTCAAAAAAGGTCAGAATAGATATTAGACTGACTAGAATTTCAATTGAAATGAAAATATATGAAATCAAGGATGCCTTTGGTTTATTGTACTTCAAAAATTTATGGGTTAATGCTTTAAGATTATTGCACTTAACATATTTATTAGTGTTAATGATCTAAAATCACAAATAAAAAAAGAAATACTATACTTCAAAAAACTATCATAGTGTCGATACTTTTCAAAATAGACATGCAAACAACTATTTGTTTTTAATTAAGAAAACTTCCTAATCCCGATTGTAATTGAAAAATTCTTTTTAAAGAGAAAACAAAGTGTTGACCAAAAGGAGTTTCTAAAGAAAAGAATTGCAATGTAAATGAAATGGTTTGAAAATTGAATTTGCAATCGCAGAGTAATATAGCAATGTCGTAGTGTTGATGATCTGTAATCACATTTATTATCTTGTACTTCAAAAATTGTCATATTTTTGCTGTGTTTAGTTTATTGAAAGAATTTGTAGATAAGAAGATTCATCAACATTAATAAATATGATAGTTTATTACTGATTTCAAGGACATGTGGATGCAGTAACAAAAAGCCACCAAAACACAACATTCAATGGAAGGCTAAAGTGGAAATGTAATTGAAATTCATTAACATTTTTTAAGGAAAAATAGAACAAGGTCAAAAAAAAAAAAGGTTAGAATAGATATTTGACTTACTAGAATGTAATAATTTAATTGAAATGAAAAGATATGAAATCAAGAATGCTTTTAGTTTATTGTACTTCAAAAATTTATGGGTTGATGCTTTAAGATTATTGCACTTAACATATTTATTAATGTTGATGATCTGAAATCACATTTAAAAAAAGAAATACTTCACATCAAAAAAGCTGTCATAGTGTTGATGATCTGAAATCACATTTTAACAAAGAAATATTGTACTTCAAAAACTGTCATAGTGTTGATGCTTTTAGTTTATTGAAAGAATTTGTAAGTAACAATCTTCACCAAAGCACAGGAATAGAAAAAGCTTACACAATTGAAGGATTTAAATACATAATTATATTGTTTTAAGAAAAACAAATGAAATTCTTAATTTAATTACAATTGCACAAAAATGTGTTATCAAGATAATAAAACCAGTCATCCAAATTATATTACGAAGAGGTAATTTTGCATTTTTTTTTTCTATTTTTAGTAATTTTGAGAATTAAATTTTAAATTTCCTTATGGTAATAAATTTCTAGTAAGTGTTCTCTATTATAAACATTGAAATTTTTTTCACTTATTAACAATATATTAGTATTCGATTGCTTTGCAAGATGAGATTTTGACAAGTGGGTAATGTGGTGCTTTGCCCGCACCAGAGAGAATTTATGTGGTGTATTTGTGCAGAGCCAAAAATGATACAAAAAATAAACAAATAAATATTTTTTTTTTTTTTTTTTTTTTTTTTTGAAAGATAAGGTGTATTGATTATGTAACTGAACAAGATCCAAATAGGCAAAAGCCCAATACAACAGACAAGCCCAAGGCTGCCAAAACAACGGCCCAAGTCCATCAAAGTTGAACTTTGTTCTCTATTCTCGGGTCAAAGACGTAGGAAAGTGAAGTTACAAAAAAAAAAAAAAAATTAATTGAAAAAGACACTTTAGACCACTTTATACAAAATAATATCAAGATCCATTTGGTAGGAGTTCGTAAATTAAATAGTTATTTTATTACATTTTAATATATGTTAGTTTTCAAGTAGGAATAATTTTACGGTATGTTTCTAATATTTTCGTTCAGATATTCTACTTGATTTGTTCTAAGAATCCGAAAAAAAAAAAAAAAAAAATGGCACAAGAAGAGTCGAGATTGATTTGTTCTAAGAATCCGAAAATTAAATACTAGCCATTTGCACCTCTAGACCAAATTTTGCCTTACCTTTCTGAGGAGAGCTGAAGAGAACATAGGACTCTTGTCTGCTTCAACCATTGACAGACAACTCATAAGGTAATTTATTTAGTAAATGACACAAGAAGAGTCGAGATTGATTAGCTGGTTGACTCAGTGTTATGAATAGGACAGCATGGTGTCACGGGCCTAGAGAGGAATCGGATCGTGACATTGGTCTCAATTGATTAGCTGGTTGACTCAGTATTTGATCTTCAATTACAAAATATATTAACCTTCCTTGTCAATTATTTTCATATACTTCAATTACAATAATGTTTCATATATTTTTTAAATGCATTATAAAATATATTAACCTTCCTTGTCAATTATTTTCCCTAAATAATATCCTTTCGGCGCTTCAATTTCTTTTTTTCCCTAGAATGAAATTACTAAAGAGCTCATGTATTACAAGAAACAAATTTCTTATATTTGAATTCCACATTTTCTCTTACCTATTAAAATTTGGTCTTACAATTTCAATTCATTAGAAGCCATAATTGCTGAACTTTATCATGTTCCCTTTACCCAACTTGTTTGTTATGTCATGCAAACAGAGGTTTAGTGCTTCAAAAAAAAATTAAAAAAAAAAAAATCAAAATTAATTTAAAATTCTGTATATTGCTATTGTCAAACACACAAACACAAAATTCTATCCCAAAATAAAGCCAGAAAGAAAATTCAATCCGTAATGATAAATTATATGTTTTGTCAAAAATTATTACTATTTATTATTTAGCGATAATCAAGTTGAAAAAAGTTGGAATTACCAAACACTAACCTTCCACAAAAGAACAGGAAAAATAGTTACAATGTACTCTATCCAGCAAGGATAAGCTTGTTTGACAGAGTACATGAACCACAAAAACAAAGGTACAAAAGAAACCCAAGGATGAGATAGAACATAACATAAAATATTGGCAAGAAAAAGATAAGTGCTGATGCTTTGATGATGTGGAATGTGGATAGATAATGCGGAGCATACCTTATCATTAAACAGTTGTGCAAGGCCGGACACATTGCATTCTTCAGCTGACGTCTTCTTCGTATTGGCATTGAAGCTTCTCAGTTTTGGTAGATCCTCCAACCTCATTTTCTTTAATTGATGAAAAGTAACAACATTATCCATGATTTCATTGTCATCTCCAACTATTTCTTCCAAGTTTTCACAGTAACTTATAGTTAATTCTTGGAGTTGCAGAAGGCCTCTTGCTGCGGCTGCGGAGAAGAGATATCTCGACGGACACTCGAATACTCGCAAAATACTTAATTTGCTAAAAGAACAAGACACACGTGATCCGATGGTCTGTGAATTCCAATTTGGTCTGCCAAATAAATGTTCTATCCCCTTACAATCCCAAACTCTAAGATACTTCAAGTCTAGAAACCCCTCACCATCTGTGTCTTGACTCACATTCTTTAAAATTTCCAGTTCTTCTAAATGTAGCACTTCAGCTTTCTCCATCAAAATGTGAAGCTCCCTCTTCAAAGGAATTCCCTTTAGTTTCAGTATCCTTGTTGCTGTAGATGAACCGTCAAAACCATAAAAGTGTAATCCCTGGCCAATGGATATTTGAAATCTGATTAACGACTTAGACAGGAGCTCATTGATGGGCAGTAACTTGACATTTGGCACTTGAACTTGTAAACTGATTAAGCGAGTCAATGAATTTAGTTCAACCAGGCTTGCATTGCCTTCAATCTCCCATTGGTCAAAGTCTCGAATGTGAAATTCCTCAAGCTGGGATAGACTAGATATGAAACCTGGAAGGATTTGGAGATTGGAAAAGCCTCTCACATCCAACGACCGTAGACTAGTCAACTGCCCTATATCCAGAGTCCACTCTTCCAGACTAGGATATTGAATGCTTAGTATCTCAAGTTTTCGCAACTCCTTGAGAAAAGCTAGGTTCACCAATTTGCACCGGTACAGTCGTAACATCCGAAGATTTTGAAGTGACGATGGTACTGTCAAGTTGCCCATGTCACGCAAATGTAAAACTTCAAGCTTCTCCATCCCTTTAAAAAAGTTACTCGGAATAGTTGGTGAACGATAGCAACCTTCCAACATTAAGGTGCGTAGTTGAGGATATTCTGAATTATCGGGAAGCACACAATCTTTGCTCAACCTTAATGAGATTGCTCTGCATCTTTTGTATTCATCATCCTCTGGCCACTTCTCAACACCGGCTTTCACTATAAACATGCCATCTTCCCCTTTTGATGCAATCGAAATGGCGACATCTCGAATGACATCGTGCATTTTTACATAGTTTTCACTTTTACCTTCTAACAACAAAGAAGATATCTTTAGGGTATCGACGATCGCATGAGTTCTATTCCGTGCTTCTTCCATTGTATCCACGCCTTGGAGAAGTCTCAATCCAACGCCATACATCACCAAATCATCAATGAAAATCTCAGCATCTTCTCCGAACAAACAACAGAGCAAAAAAATTGACTTTGCATCAATAGACTCCAGGTAGTCGTAGCTCAACTCTATGCGTGAATAGAGTTTTCCCTGCAATCCACCAATGTTATCTGCCCTACAATTTCTTAGTTGTTTTAGTGCATCTTTCCATTTCTGCTTACTCTTATTCTGTAGTGCTCCACCAACTGCAAGTATTGCCAATGGCAAACATGCACATTCTCTGCACACTTCTTCCGCTACAGATTGCATTTCATGAGTTTCAAAAGAATCTCCCACCTTCTTCTTAAAAAGGGACCATGCTTCAACATCCGATAAGACTCCAATTTGAAAGTTACCTTTTTCTTGAACACCCATCTCTTTGCACACATCTCTACTCCGAGAGGTTAACAAAATTTTGCAACCCGTGAAATGATCATCTGTAGCTGGAATTCCAATGCCCTCCAACTTAATTTTATCATTCCAAACGTCATCCACCATTACAAGGATCTTTTTACCATTTTTCAGTCTAAGGTATAGCCGCCCCTTTCTTGCATCTTCAGTCTCTTCTTCTAAATTACAATTCAACCCTTCTGCAAGTTTTTGTTGAATTTCTTTTAAATTTGGATTTTGGGTGACAACTACTTGGGCGATCTCATCAAAGAGCTTACATTTTTGAGCTTGTTCGGCAACTTCTTTCATCATTCTCGTTTTTCCAACGCCCGGCATCCCATGAATCCCAATCTTGTAATTGCTATCATCTTTTAGTGCCTCCATGATCTGCTTAAAAACCCGCTCTCTGGATTCAAAACTCTCATACTTCATGCTGTTTGAGCGCCAAATACCAGTGAGAGGAGGTTGGTGTGCAAAAGAGTCAAAGTTGCCTTCCTCTATAAGCTTGGTAACATCAGTCTTCTTCTTTTTCCCTTCCTTACCCAACCGGTAACGTAAGCAAACATCAAGACACCTGAGATTTTCTTTGCCTTGGAGCAATCTGTTCATGTCATCTACCATAGTCGGCAATGAACTCTGCATTTTCGTCTGCCACTGCGAAACATCATCCTCGATGACTTGAGCATTGTTCAAGGCTTCTTTAACCTTGGTATCGACCCTTCCCTTCACACGTCTGAGTTTGTCAACTTCATCTGCATAATCCTGAATGTTTTGCTTACAGTGAAACAAATAACCAAATTGACGGCCGATGGATGTGTACAAGCGGCCTATGATGGGCTCTACCATCTTTTCCACCATTTTAGTAATCACTTCCATTTTTAATGTCTCTTGTCTCTCTAAGGAGATGTATGATGCAATAGAGAATACAAGGAAATATATGGCAACAGAAATACAGGAAGCTTTAACAAGGAGAAAGCTAACAAATACAGAGAGTTTGATTTTAAATGACAAACAAAAGTGAAGTTTTTTTTTTTTTTTTTTTTTTTTTGGAAAGAAAAGTGAAGATTCACAAGGAGACACTCAAGAGAGACACAAATTCAGGTCTAAAAGACAGCCTAATTCACATTTAACGGAAAAACTAAGAGAGTGAATGTGGGATATTACAGAGATACAAAGCAGGAAATGGGAGAGCACCAGAAAAACAGAAAGGTAAAAAACTAAAGAAGAGATTAATTTAAAGACATACCTCTGGCATAATATTTCAATTCCAATTAAGTCTGATCCAACACAAATAAATTAGATGAACGGAAAGGGAAGATCGATTCAGTAGAACAGAGAGATGGTGAGACAAGAGAGAACAGAGGGATTGCAGATTGAGAGAGATGGTGAGACAGTGATATAAGAGAGAACAGAGGGATTGCAGATTGAGAGAGAGAGAGAGAGAGAGAGATGAGAGATGCAAATTCAGATGTTAGAGAGAGAGAGTGAGAGAAGGTAAAGTAAATGATATGAGAAAAAAGAGAACACGTTTTTCATGTCAGTCAGTCATCATGGCACTAGAAAATTTTACAAGAATAAAAACAAAACTTCTAATGTCAGTTTTTAGATATTGGATCATGTAATACATGAATTTACAAGAAATTCTGCGAAATATGATTTTGATTTTGTTAAGAATATGGTAAAAAAAATTAGTTTTGATGGAAAAAAAAATACTTATACAAACTTCATCTTTAACTCAAAAAAATTGCAGTCCAAAATCTATAGAATTAGGCTTAAATGGTTTAAACTTAAGTGTACAAGTAGACAGTAAATTTAATGAGTAAAATTGGTTTGGATTGCTTTCTTAGAAACTTTGGTCACCAACACATTTATCACTAAAAAATTTTTGATTGTGTGATCATTTTTTAATCTAAATTACAAACTTAAAATTTATACGACAGACAATAATTATGAAAAATTCCTTAAAAGTAACTCAGAAAAATTCAAAATTTCCAGCTTCAGTTTATCTTGTGTGCACCTTATTATTATGTTGTTGTGTCAAAAAAAAAAAACATTATTATTATTCTGTTCAATTAGAATTAGGAAAGAAGTTTATAATTAAGTTTATGTAACCCTACACTTTATAACTCAAAGATATGTGAAACATATGTTTTACATCAAAATTATTCATTTTTTTTTCTTTTTTTTTTTTTTTTTTACAAAAACTTACATCAAAATTTTTCTAGGGGAGTCTCATTACACAAATGATTTCTAAATCTTGCAGATCTTTTGATTCTTTTCTATAATAAAAGGGAACTGAAAGCATCTACGTTTTAAAAAAAAATGTGTAATATATACATAATCTGTAATTTTTTTTTTTAGTAATTTGCAGAGTAATCTTTGCCTCCTTACTTATTGTTATTGGCAGATAGAAACCATCTCTCACCAAAACTAATCCTATTAAAGTTTTTATCTTTAATAAATAATGATACACACACACATATATATATAAATAATTATATATAAAACACTAATCACATCCATTAATAAGTTCATTAAATTTAAAACTATTAAATAATGATTAAATTAATAATCATTCCTAAATCAATCTGCAATCTCTTTTAAAGAGAAATTCTTTTGACCTTAATTCAATCCTAAACAATTATTAAACCATTTAAATAATAAAATGTAATTAAAGGAATAATATATTTAATCCAATCCCAAATAATAATTGTAATTATTTAAATCGCATATCCAATACCCAAGCTTTGAGAAATCATTCATGTCTGTACCAATATTATTTTATATTAAAATAAAAAATATTATATTAACCTTTAAATACTAGATTATTCTAATATAAGAATATCTAATCATAATCCAACTTACACATTCAATAATCATAGATGGAATTTTAATCATCTAACACATAGCAATTTAATTACGCTTTAACAAATAAAACATGTCATTATAAATATATTTATTTATACATTGGCAATTCATTTATTTATACATTTGGCAAATCAATCATGTCATTATAAATATATTTATTTATATATTGGCAACTTAACCATGCCTCTAAGTATATATATTTATACTTTTAAATTAACAACTTAACCATACTTTTTATGTATGTATTTTATTCATACAAATATTTAGGCAATATATTTACACCTATGACAATTCATCCATATATACAATTCAACTATGTATCAACTTTAAACTTAACAATAAATTAATTCACACATAACCATTTTATGCATATTATATGCATAAGATTAATTTCATAACCAGCCTAATATAATATATCAAATAAGAATAATAATTTAATTATACATATATCCATATTTTATACAGTATATATATATATATATATATATATATGTATAATACCTTCAATAATAACCCTTGATTATTTAAAATCGTAATCATTAAATCAATGAGCCCCATTGTAGGACTCAAAAGATCTAAGAGATGTAATTGTGATAGTGACAAATGTGATCAGGAGAACTATTTTTTTTACACAAATGTAATTAGGCAAAGATTACTCTGCAAAAGTTATGTGGGTTTTGTTGTTATTGGCAGATACATTTTTACACAAAAGATATAAAATAATGGTTAGAGCAAAAAATGAGTAGTCCAAAATTTTTGTGTAAATTTATTATGACACGTCAAATTTATACAATATATATATATATATATATATATATATATATATATATATATACATACATACAACCGTTTGAGATATGCTCTTAAGATACATTGCCACCTCCTCAATGTGTAAAATTGTTGTGCATTTTGCACAACTCTTTTACACACGCACATTAGCATATTTCATTTCTCCTCCCTCTTTCTCATTCCATTAATAAATCAACCATATATTAAATAAGTTTGTAAAAATTATGTGGTGTCGCGTGATTGGTTGTTATTTATTTATTTTTTTTCGTAAAGCACGTGTATCCGCCCTATAATACACGTACCATTCAGTCAGGAGTACGGTTCGAAAGCGAAATCTCAAGGATTTACCTTCAACATTCCTGTCAACGCCACTATACTCCTGGGGATTGATTGGTTGTTATGAGCAAATACATTTTTACACCAAATATATAAAATAATAACTGGAGTTAAAAAATGATTAGTCTAAAATTTTTGTGTGAATTTATTATCACATATCATATTTATACAAATATATATATATATATACACACACAACAGTTGAAAATACTCTGACAATGATTAAAAGCGACTAATAAAGGAAAATGCAAAAGCAAAAGGACGTGATTTTCATGTGATGGCGCACTAGGACTGCATTATTAAAGAAACATCAAAAAAGAAAAATGGATTGATTGGTCGATGGCATTTGACAAATTAAAAAGCTATTCCTAATGTTGGATTTGTTTTTGGTAAAGCAATATAATAGCAATCATGAAAATGCGGAAGAGATGGGTAACATACTAAAAAAAGGTAAATAAAAGACGAAAACTAATAAAAGCTAGTAATATATAAAGTAATATTTCTTAAAAAATATTTGTGATAAAGTTAGGAATAAATACTGTGCAATACAAGACTGGTCTCTCTCAAAAAAAATAAATAGAAGACTCATGGCAAATCATAATTTTATGTTATAATGAATAAATCATAATTGACTTAAATTGATTCCAACTGCTTCCTAAAAAACTCTTATCACAAAAAACAGTGTCACAAAAATATTTCACATTGCTTTAATCATGTATTATTCAAAATTGGGCACTGGAATTTCTCTCAAATATTTTTAACAAAATAGAATGTTGAGTTCAATGCTCAACAAAATTCACTTGCAAAATATTGAATCACAATAAAATAAAATAAAATTGTCCCAATGTGCAACTCTAAAATTGAAAATTGGTAAGGAAATTTACAAAGAGATTCAAATTGAGGTGTAAAAAAAGCGCAAACCCTACAGTATAAATTATGAGCCAGCCGGATTGCTTCCTCCCTCAACTTTGCAAGTAATGGTAGATGAAATCCTTAATAAAGTATTAAAATAGTTTATTACTAACCGTTTAATGTAGTAACAATATAAAATATAACACACGTAATATTTCATCCACAACAATCACCAAAATACCACAACATGATTTATGTATTCACTAATTTAAAATCCTTTTGTTTGTTTCATATAATTTGAATCCAGAGGAAAAAAATAGAAAGTATATTTCAAAAGAAAAGGTAAAGGATGAAGATTAGAAATGTCAAAGAAAAAACAGAGTTAACACGATTTTATGTCATGACACTGTATTATTAAAAATCAGAAAGAAAATGGCTCGGCTGATGGACACTTCCAATAATTCCAACGTCATAAACATATAGTTTATTCGAGATAACATGTGTTTTTTTTTTTTTGAGTGCCCTTTCTAGTTTTGTCAAAAGAGATAATTTATTCTAGAGGTGTAATTTTTTTTTTTTTTTAATTAATGCCAAAACAAATAATTTATTTATATATTCATGTGGGATAATAGGAGTAACAAATTTTGACACGACTGGAACACAGCACGGGTTAAACGGGTTTAAGTTTACCTTAAACGGGTTCGGATCATAAATAGATCGACACGATTAATCCATTTAATTAATCGTGTCGTGTTTGGGTTAAGAGAGTTCAACCCGTGTAACCCATTTATACTCGTTTAACTATACATGTCATAAACAAATTTATTTTTAAGTTCGAAAAATAAGTATCTAAACTTGTGTCTTATAATTTACTTTTTTATAAATTAGAGACTATTTATTAATTTGATTGAATTAAAACTTATAATTTTCTATTATTTATTTTTAATTGATTATTATTAATAACTTAAATAATATATATATATATATTTTAATTGAATTGAAACTTATAATAGGGAACCGCAAAGAATTGAAATAAAATATATTTTTTTTTGGGGGGGGGGGGGGGGGCGGGGGGAGCGCAGAGCCTAATTCACATTTAACAGAAGTGAGGGAAAATCAGATGCATGTAAGAGAGCAAAATGGGAGCACCAGAAAAACACAGAGGTTAAAAAGTTGTTGAGGAAACTTAAGAATAAAATTAAACACATAAAATAGATGAACGGAAAGTGAAGATTCAGTAGATGTGAGATAAGAGAGAATAGAGATTGACGGATTGCAGATTGAGAGAGAGAGAGAGATGCAAATTCAGATGGTAGAGAGAGGGAGAATAGAGATTGAGGGATTGCAAATTGAGAGAGATGCAAAATCAGATGGTAGAGAGAGAGTGTGTGTCATCATAAGGAAAAGTAAATGATAATTATTATGTCAAAGAAAAAAGGTAACACGTTTTTCGTAAAACTTATAATTTTCTATTATTTATTTTTAATTAATTAGTATTATTAATTTAAATAATATATATATATTTTTTGTTTTAATAAATAAGTCATTAAAAGAGTTATACGTATAATCCGTTTATTAAATAAGTTGGGTTAGGGTTAAGGGTTTCTGACACGAATATTCAAAGACACATATTCAGGTTGAAAATAAAAAATAGAAGACTTATCATAAATCATAATTTTATGTTCGAATGAATAAATCAT